GCTTGTTCTAAGTAGGTGCTTTAGACCACTGAGCCATCTCACCAGCCCTATATAGTGAGTTCTAGGCCAGGCTTCATTACAAGGTAAGACCCTGTCTCAAAAAAAAAAAAAATCATTTTGTGAGATATAATAGCAGATTCTGGGACAGAAATATAGCTCAGCGGCACAAGCAAGTGCAAGGTTCTGAGTTCATACCACCTGCCCCCAAAATAGCAGATTGTCGATATACAAAGAACTCCAACATACCAACAAAAGAACCAGCAGAGGAATTGATCTACTCCGGTGAGCATCGAAGTGTTACTTTGTACACCATAAACGTCAACGTTTCTGTGTCACTTAGTAAGGCTGGGAAAGGAAAGGAAAGAGAGGCACTTTCACAGAAAAAAAGACACTCCTAAAAACCCTACAAATATTCAGCTCCACTACAACCAAAGAAATACAAGCCCTGACCTGTGACGACGCATCACCTAATTCCCGCCCGTCGGGCTGTCAGCATGGTGGGCAGGGCAGCCTGCGCTGGCTCACGGCAGCGTCCAGCACGCGGCTCAAGCTCGTAGCCCGTCTCCAGAACTCTTGGACATGTACACATTTTCACGTGCCAAAGGCCCTCCTAGGGACCTTTTCCTGCACATAAGACCCAGGGAAGTCGGTGTCCCGCGTGAAGGGCACAAGGCCCTTAGCACACAGGGCACAGCAGGGACATGGGCGTGCCCAGTGGGCCTGTCCTGCTTCCAGCCCTGACAAGGAGCCATTACAATGGACTTCATGCTCACCAGCCAAAGAAGGTGTGGGGTGAGAAGGCTCCACACCTGCCCCAGATGCTGAAGGGAGCTCAGCGCTCTGAAACTCAGGGCCAGCCCGGGCCACAGGGTCCCACTCTGCACAGGGAGTCCCAGAGCGCTGAGACTGGGCCTGGGGTGGGGGCTGCCTCGCTGCTGCATGAGTCAGGCACCCAGGAAGCCGCTCCAACCGCAGCAGAGCCAGAGCCAAGCTCCAGGGTCACCTGGGGGGGTGTGTGCTCACTTCCCTGCCTAACCTTCCTCAGTTTCTCTAGACCCAAAATAACAGGAAGCCGAGATGTGTACCTGAAATAACAGGAAGTTCACTGACTTAGAAGACCTTTAGCCACTTACCAGTCCAATTATTTCAGTACAGGTTGATGATGGCCAGCCAAATAGGTCAGCAGATTAAAGTTCCTGCAAGCAGGCGCAGGGGCTGGGGGTTCAATCCCTGGGCCTGCCATGCCGGCCCCGCCTCTGGGGCACTCTGAGACAGCAGTTGAAATGGCATGGTGGCACATGCCTGTAATCCCAGCTCTTGGGAGCCTGTAAACAGGAGAATCACTACAAATCTGATCTAGTAGTGAGACCCTGAACACCCTGTAGACCCTTCCCTAAAATACAAAAGATAAAAAAAATTGATGAACAATTGCATATTTTTGTAAATTTGTATAAGAAACTGTAACAGGAAATGGGCCTCTTGCACGGTGGCCCTCATACCGCAGGCTGCACTTCTTTTACAACTTTTACTTGGCCTGAACGCCCTCTGCAGAGCCTGTTTCTTTTCCTACTTTTTTTTTTTTTAAATGTATTTAGTACAGGGTTTACAGGGTCTCACTACCACAGATCAGACTCCTAGCGATCCTTCCTGCTTTCCAGCCTCCCAAGCACTCGGATCACAGGAGCACGCCGCCAGGCCCAGTCTCATTCACCATCTCAGCCCTCCCCAGGGGCAGGCCAGCATGGCAGACCATCTTTTCCTACCTTTAATAAAACTTTGCTACTATATGTATAATTGCATGAAATATAAAAAAATGACAGTTTAACTGGACTGGTTGGACCAGGAATATAGCAAGCACCTGACTGGCAAGCACAAGGTTCTGACTTTGATTCCCAGTATCAAAGCAAAACAAAAGAATGGGCTGGTTGAAACATCCCCTGTCTGAGCACAGTCCAGGATAGTACATACGCGAGTGTGCTGCACAAATGATGCTGGGCTAAGCTGTTCTCTGGACCTTGCGCTTGCCAGGCAGACCTGTACCACTGAGGTATCTCTCTCTTTTTTTTTTCTTGTATTTTAGGGAAGGGTCTACAGGGTGTTCAGAGTCTCACTACTAGATTGTACTCATAGCAATCCACCTGTGTTCAGCCTCTCAAGAGCTGGGATTACAGGCACGCACCACCATACCCCGTCTCAGTTGCTGTCTCAGCGCGTCCCAGGGTCGGGCTGGCACGGCAGGCCCAGGGATCAAAGCCCCGTCCCCTGTGCCTGCTTGCAGGCGCTTTAATCTGCTGAACTATTTGGCCAGTCCTTTCTTTTCTTTTCTTTTCTTTCTTTTTTTGTTTTTCAGTACCAGGGATTAAACTCAGGACCCTGCACTTGGCAAGCGAGTGCTTATTCTACTGTGCTATCTCCCTGGCCCTGTGGTAAACTTTTAAGTGGCTAAAACAACACTTCTAGATGCATTCAAAAGTGAGCCACTGCTCACTTGGAAAGCCAAGAGAAGCTGCTCCACCACCAGGACCCTCTCAGCTCTCTCCTGGCGAAAGGTCTGGGACTGACGCAGGGCTCAATGGTCACTCCTAAAATGGGAATGCCAGGGTGGGGAGCAGTGGTCTTGCCAAGGGAGGCCAGTCAGGGTCTCCAGCTAGGGAGGTGCTGGTGGGCTTCGGATGCCAGTGTTCCCTGGGGTCCAGACCCTGCCCCCACCTAGGGGCCTGCCTCCTTCCCAGGAGGGCCTGCTGTCTCAGGTGCTGCAGTCTGTCCTTCCCTGCAGGGACATCAGCAGGCAAAAGAGCAGGAACAATTGCACAGAGCCTGAAGCTGCACACATCCCAGTCCGAGCAGAGGCCCTGGTCAGTGTCGGAATGCACGCAGAGGCCTGGGAGGGCTTCCAGACACCCACCCACTTTCCTGTCTCTGCGTGGGGGACCCACAGAGACCAGCCCAGGAGGATGTGCCTGTCTCCTGCCAAAGTCACATCCTCTGTTCCCATGGGAGGAACTCTATGGGCCACCTTTTTTTTTTTTTTTTCTTTTTTGTGGAACCGGGGATTGAACTCAGATCCTTGCGTTTGCCAGTCAAGCGCTTATCCTACTGAGCCATCTCCCCAGCCCTCTATGGGCCACCTTAGCAAAGCCAGAGGAACGTCTGAGCCACTCCTCCCTGCTGCAGAATGTTCCCTCACAACGAGGCCCTGAAATGACTGACTTGGGCCAGGCCAGGGGAGAGGCTGTGGCCACTGCTCAGGCCAGCTGGGTGGCGCAGGCTCTGACACCTTGACGTGGGGCTACCCCGCTGGCCACAGCAGAGGACCCGGCACGAGGCCCACATGGGACGTCTGGTTTTCCACCAGCAGGACATCTGGGCCTCAGTGCCATGACCAGGCACGGCTGCTGGAGGCTCGGTGCACCCTGCCGTGACTCTAGCTGGCAGCCCCAGCAGGAGCACACAGCTTGGGTCGGCCCAAGTCCCAGACCCACAGCAGCCCTGCTCCGGATGCCTGGCCCCGGTCCCTTCCCTGGAGGCCCTGTGCTATGGCTGTGCTCACACGGGCAGCGCTCTTACGGGAAGGGGCTCTGTTGGGAGAGCAGGGCCAGCGGTGAATGACCCTGCAGAGGTCCAGGACAGGTGTCCCGACAGCGTGTGAGGAGTCCCTCAGCTGAATGCGGGCAGGTGAGAGCAGGGCACGGCCTGGCTCAGCCACACGGGCTTGTTTCCCTCACATCAGAGCAAGGCCCACCCTCCCTCGGGCCCGTGGCACCTGCAAGGCTCTCGGCAGCCCTGCTGCTGTGATGCCCGCCAGGTCTGATGGCCTTATGCTGGTCCTGGGTTTGTGCTCTGAGGGAGCTATAGTCCCAGGACAGCACGACAGCCCTAGGGTATCACTCAGAGATACAGGGCATAGCTGCTCAGCCCAGCTCCGGGTACCCAGCCCAGCAGAATGGATGGAGGCCTGCTGCACCCGGTGTTTTGTACACCACCTAGGAAGCCTGTAAGCTGCCAGCCCTTCGATCCCCCAGCTAGCAGAGCCCCACCGCCCACCTTGCTCCCCTCCTGCCCCTGCATCTCCCCAGAAGGAAGAAGCCCAAACAAGTCACCTGGATTGTGGGAAGCAAGGCCAAGAAGCTGTTAGAGTCTGTGCCCCTGGCTAGTGGGCACCACAGCCTCGTGTGCCCCCTCAGGGATCAGCCCAGGATGTGAGCCTCAGTTGTGCTTTATGCCTTTGCCAACTAACGGGTCTTTGAACCCTTGGCTCCCCAGGCACACTCCCCAGCCCCCAGCCTGGCGCCTTACCCGGGCTGTTCCACGACAGAGCCACATGCCTTCCCTGCTTGCCCGCAAACAGGTTTCAGGAAGTCCCAGGGTCCCCTGTGCTTGCGTGCCTGCACTGAAACTCCCCTAACCTAACCACAAAGCCCTGGGGCGGGGTGTAATCTGTAATCTGCTGACAGCAGGACCTCCTCACTTTCCTGGGGGCAGATGGCTTGAAAGCCCTGAAAAGACCTTGCCCTGGCCAGAGAGCCAAGCTGCAGCCAAACAACCTAGGCCAGGGGACACCAGGCCAGGTGGTTCCATCTGAGAGTGTACCATGCCTGCCTCATGTGTCCCAAATCAGACAAAGTGACAACAGGATGGCCCAGGAGGGCCGCTGGGAGGCAGATCCAGTTTTTCTTCAGTGGGAGCTCTACATTGGATTGACCAAGGCAGGCACCAACTAGGAACACCACTCGGAAGCACCATAGCCCTGCCCTCCCCAGCTCTGGCCCAGGTTTCTTCCTTCCGGGACCAAGCCCAGCCTGGCCCAAAATCCCTGCTGGTAGGCCTGTTTGTGCCAGGCTGTGAGGGTTGGGGCTGGGGGCTGGGTGCGGGTGCCCGGCACAGCTGCAGTCCCTCGTGCTGCCCGGCGCTCACACATTTCTTCTTGTGGCTTGCTGAGCCCTGGGACAGAACATCTGGGATCCAAACACGGCCCAGTCTCTGGCAGATGTCAGCTGGAGCTAAGTGTACTCGCTACTTCACGAGCACCTGTGCCCAAGGGCTGGCTCTGTGTTTCTCGGTGCTGAACTTTCCTTGACACCCCAAGGTGTCTGGCCCAGTGCTGCCCCTCCAGCACTGGGGGCAGGGCTGGCTGGGGCAGGGGTGGGCCCACCACATCTCTAGGACTCTTCTGTGCCAGGCACCTCACCGCAGTGGTCACAGACCCCGACCCAGACATCTGCAGCCTGGGGTGTTGTGGGCAAGGGGCTGGTGGCCCTGCCCTGAGCAGCCATCTCTAGGGTCTATGCAGGTGGAGACAGAGTCCCTAGAAAGCCAGCTTACAGGGCCACAGACACCTGGACACACACTTGTTGGGGCCATGGCTACCACAGGCCACTGACTGTCACCCTCTTGCCCTCACGCCAGGCCCCTCCTTGGAGAGCACAGGTGTTTAGGCTGTGGCAGAGTGGACCTGGCCTGTGACTGGACAGCCTGCTGGAGATGCTGGACAATCCACTGAGCTGCAGTGACCCGGTCATCTGTTCCTGCCAGCCCTAGCTTGACAGCATGGGCCTCCCCAAGCAGCTGGCTGGGCCCTACCTCCTGCAAGCCGTGTAGATTTGTTTCTTCTCTCTAAAAACTTGTGGACTTTTACCAATGTGGCCAGACCAACACATCATAAAAAGCACCACTGCTAAGCGGTGTTAGATGGCTCTAACGCCACCACTCTCAGTGTGACTGTCACGCCATCCACCCTCAGGACCTTGTCACCTAGTGAAATGGGAACTGGTCATCCACTAACCCCACCTCCACATGGCCCTGCCATCCTGCTCTCTGGCTCTTAGAATCGCGCTGCTCCAGACTTTCTTACAGGAAAATCCCACGCCATTTGTCTTTCTGGTCCCTGGTTTCACTGAGCACAGTGCCCTCTGAATTCTTCCACACTGCCACAGGCATCAGAAGTTTCTCCTTTTTAGGGCTACATAGTATCCCACTGTGAAGAGGGTCCACTTGCTTGTGTGTCAGTGGACATTTGTGTGGCCACCACCTCCTGGCTACTGTGAACAGGATGTCATAAATTTTGCAACCTATGTGTGCTCTGCCAGTCATTATTCTGTTTTTTGTTTTCTTTTGTTGTTGTTGTTGTTGGGTTTTTTTGATACTGGGAATTGAACTCAGGACCTTGCACTTGCCAGGTAGGTGCTGTGCTGCTGAGCTACAACCTTGCTCTAGTCATTATTGTTTTCTTTTTTGTTTTGTTTTGGGTTTTTTGGTATTTTAGTACGGGGTCTACAGGGTCTCACTGCATAGATTGGACTCATAGTGATTCTCCTTTTTCAGCCTTCCAAGCGCTGGGATTATAGGCATGAGTCAACGCGACCAGTCTCAATTGCCGTCTCAGTGTACCCTGGGGGCAGGCCTGGCACAGCACAGCAGGGATAGAACACCCACCCACCCCCACCCACCCCCACCCACCCTG